CGCGGAGACACGGGGCTGCGTTGGCCTAGGCTGGGATCGCCGCGAGCTGGCCTGTGGGGGATTTTCCCGCCGCTGGGAATGAGGTTTCTGAACCTCCGAGGAGTGAGGGTCCCCAGCAGCCTCCCAGCGGCGCTTTGGCCCGGATTAGTCAGTCACCGTTAATAACACTCTCGGGCTAGGGGGAGGCTTGGCCGGTTTAGGAACAGGACCACACCACAGTGTTGCCTGCAACCACAGGGGCCTGTACTCCATGACCCAAAGGGAGGGTCCCTTCTAGCCCTGGCACCAGATGAAAAAAATTTAACCTACAGCATAATCCCTCCTAACCCCCGTCTGCAATTATTGTAACAGCCAGAAGGGGCCCAGAGTAATAACAGCCCTGCAGAGAAGGGATCTTAGCCCACTAGCCCAGATACCAGGTGTCCAATCAGTTCGGAAGCACTAGCCCCCATAATGGCTTCTGCTACAATGAACTAGACACACTCAACCGGCCAAGTAGCTACATGTGGGTAGGAGCTAGTGTGTTGGACACAATCGCCCTATAGCAAAATCATTTCCTGGTGGGGAAACAGAGGAACAAAATCTTCCCCAGGGACAGGAGGCAGCTGCATCTGTCTCAACAGCCCAGTGATGGAGAGCTGAGGCAGGGTTTCATTTCCCTAAACATTGTATAATCTCACTGACAGAGACAAGTTTTTAGTTTCCTTGTCTATAGAAGACAGTTCTTTTGTCCATTAAAGTACTGTTTCTAAAGAGGCCAAATAAGCAACCTTTTGAACAGAACCATCCAATACATTGCCAATGTGGAAAACAACTTCAAACATTCTCAAAATTAATACTTAACAGTCCTTCCTTTGAGACTTGATTACTGCTGCTGAGAAAAATGATTAGTCACCGCTCATAACTGCTGTTCTTTCAGATGTTATTCATGTCCATTCCCACACATGCAGTGGGCAGGCCCCTGGGCAAAGTATGCATGTGTAGGAAACATGCTCCATGCCCCTGGAAGGGGTGGGACTAGGCAGCCTGCAGTGCTGCCTGGAGCATGGCATTCCAGTAGCGATTTAAAGCATCCAGGCTGCTGCTGCTGCTGGGAGCTCTGTATCCTGGGGCAGTTGTGATCCCCTTTCCTCCCCCCCTCTCAGGGGGCCTGTGCTCATGCATTGCACCCGGAAGATTTCCCCCCCTCGCAGTATCCCTCACGATAGGGCCCTGCTGACTCACCACCTCTCAGTTTCTTCTTGCCAGCTACTCCAACAGAGTGGTAGGTGGGTGGTACTGGAATGGACAAATCTTGAAGAACAATTGTTAGAAGGTAAATAACCATTTTTTCTGCTCCAAATGCTTGTTCAGGTCATTTCCAAACAGGTGATTCCCAAGCCTAACTTTCAGGATCAAAGTACAGATATATCCATTGACTGCAGCACTGCTATACCACAGGCTGCATCACCTCTGGCCTGCTGGGTAATTACATAATGCACAGCAAAACTGTGTATGCAGGACCATGTCACTGCTCTGCTTATTTCCTGAGTAGGAGCTTGCACCAGGGATGCTGCTAAAGAAGCCTACACTGGGGTGGTGTGTGCTGTGAGGGGAGAGGCAGGCACATCCATCAGGTTGTTAGCACTCTTGGATGCAGACAGAGGCAACATGGAAGGCCCCAAAGAGGGTCACATACCCCCATAAATGCTGTGAGAGGGAGGGTCAAGGGGCGAGCAACTGGCAGGCAGAGCCATCCTGTCCTATGAATGGTTTGTCCAACTGTCCCAGACCCCATGCCGTGGAGGGCCCTGTAGGGCCTAGATTAGTGGGGGCCTGGCCCTGGCAAGATGGGATAAAATCCAGGATATAAAATCCAAGTTAATCAGTTACATTTTAGGTTTGCTTTAGCCTACCTTGAGCAGCCCTCTGCCCTGTGCGCTCCCGTCCTCAACCCCACACTGAGGCCGTCTCTATGGCTCAGAGCCTGGCTGCTGCTGGCTCCCTGCCTCATTCGTTTCCATCTGAATGAATCTATCTTTGACTTTCTAGCTGTTGGGTTATGTTCTATACCATTCTTTTGGATTGCAGAGTCTAACAACTATTTGCTCCCCATGGAGATACTTCAGGCCTACACTCTGTTCCTTTAAGGCATACGTTCTAATCCTTTAACCCTTGTCATAGCTCTTCCCTGAACCCTCTCCAATGTATCAATGTTCCTCCTAAATTGTGGGCACCTGAACTGAAGCAGTATTCCAGCAGTGAATGCATTGTAAATAGAAAGCTAAAGGAAATCACTTGCTCACAAGTCCCCTTTAAGCATCCAAGGATTACATTAGCCGTTTTAGTTATACAAGTTGTACCTCTAAAAATCAGGACTCCCACATCTGGCAGTGGGGCTGGGGCCAGCCTGACAGCCCAGAAGTGGGGATGGTTAGGGCTGGCAGCAAGGAGAGGCGGCGGACTGGGGGTCTGTTAGCGGGGATCTTCCCTCTTTCAGAACCAGTCAGGTCCTGAAGGTGCTGGATCAGAGAGGTCCAACTTGTAGTATCACTCACAGCTCACATTCAGCTGATTATCTACATCAACCCACAATATTTTTTCAGTCACTGTTTCCCAACATAGAATTCACAATCCAGCTGACCTGCATTCTCTGCTACTAGATATATTCATTTAGCCCTATTAAAATGCATATTATTTGTCTGCACCCAGTTTACCAAGCAGTACAGATTACTCTGAACCACTGACTTCATTATTTACTACTCCCTGCTGTATATCATGTGCAAACTTTCATTGAGTATTTCGTATTTTCTTCCAGCTCATCGATTAAAAAAACCCATTAAATAGCATAGGGCCAAGGACCAATCCCTGAAAGACCCAACTGGAAATACATCTGTTTGATGAAAACTCCCCATTTACAATTACATTACAGTTTTTAATCTGTTTAAATGGTGCCACATTAATGTTATTGTTCTACGTTTTTCTAAATGAAACTCTCATGTGGTACCAAGTCAAATGCCTTATACAAATATAAGTATACTACATCAGTGGTATTACTTTTATCAACCAAACATGTAATCTCTTTGAAGAAAGATATCAAGTTAGTTGGCAGGATCTGTTCTCCATAAACTCATCTGAATATGCATTAATTACATTACTCTTCTTTAATCCTTTCTTGAATCCTCTATTTTCCACTCGATTATCTCGCCCAGAATTGACATCAGGCTGACATGCCTATTATTACCTGGGTCATCCCATTTTCCCTATATTAAAAATGGCAGATCATTAGCTTTCTTCTAGTCTTTGGGAACTTCCCCAGTGCCAACACTTGGGCTACGTCTACACTGGCCCCGATCCTCCGGAAAAAAGCCCTTTGAAGTAGGAATAAGAGATCTCCAGAAAAGGGTTTTTTTCCGGAGGATCGGGGCCAGTGTAGACGCTCTTTTCCGGCTTTTCTAAAGCCGGAAAAAAGCGGCGGACCTTTTTATTTAAATGCCGCGGGGGATATTTAAATCCCCCGCGGATTTCCCTATTACGACCTGTAAAATTAGCATGCCCGTTTTGGAAAAGGGGCCAGTGTAGACGCTCTTTTCCGGCTTTTCTAAAGCCGGAAAAAAGCGGCGGACCTTTTTATTTAAATGCCGCGGGGGATATTTAAATCCCCCGCGGATTTCCCTATTACGACCTGTAAAATTAGCATGCCCGTTTTGGAAAAGGGGCCAGTGTAGACGTAGCCTTAGGGTGCATCTACACAGCAACTGTTATTTTGAAATACAATAAGCCTTCTGTTTTGAATGTAACATCTGTAAACCTCATTACATGAGGAACACCACCTATTCTGAAATAGCAGCAGTAGTGGAGCTTCCATACTACTATTTCAAAATAGCTCCTCCCTGGGGCCATTCAGACAAATTACTCCCCAGTGCCTCCTGGGGCTCTAAATCGAGGTAGCACATCCACATTAGGAAAGCCAGCGTTGGACTAATTTTGAGGCCTCCCTGTAGTGTAGCTATGTTACTTCGAAATAAGCTCTTTTGGAGTATTTCTTCTGGAATAGCTTATTTCAAAATAAGTGTGCAGTGTAGACATACCCTTACTGAAAAATCAACATGAATAGTCTGCAGGCTCCTCAACCAACTCCTTTTAAAACTCTTCGAGGTAATTTATCTGGACCTGCTGATTTAATAATGTTTAACTTGACAGTTTAATATTCTCCAGAGACTAGTGGAACAGAAAGTTATGACCATATGATGAGCTATCTTATCCCCAAATGCAGAACAGAAATATTTATTGAATACTTCTGCCCATTCTACATCATTACTGATAATTCTACCTTTTCTGTCTAATAATGGACAAGTACCATTAGTTGAGATACAGGCAGTCCCCGGGTTACGTACAAGATAGGGACTGTAGGTTTGTTCTTAAGTTGAATCTGTATGTAAGTCGGAACTGGCATCCAGATTCAGCCGCTGCTGAAACTGAAATATTTATTGAATACTTCTGCCCATTCTACATCATTACTGATAATTCTACCTTTTCTGTCTAATAATGGACAAGTACCATTAGTTGAGATACAGGCAGTCCCCGGGTTACGTACAAGATAGGGACTGTAGGT